ATACTAGAAGTTACTATTGCAAGGAAAGTGCTGCCTCATGCCAAAGGGATCAAAGGCAGCATGCGCAATTTTCTGAATAAGGGGCTGTTTTTATGATCCCGCTTTGTCAGGACGAGATATGAGGCGGGAAAGGCACGATGATTTCGATGTATTGAAATAAGCTAACGGTGCACAATTCTGCAAAAAACTTCATTATTTTCTAGAGATACCCGGCGTACTTAATCGATAAAAACCGATCATCGGAAATCCAATCGATCAATCGATGGTAATCGATGTTAATTACTTAATTGATATCAGTTCACATTGATCAACCGATGGCCAATCGATAGTCACAAAAAATTATAGCCAATTTTATCGATTATTGTCGATATTCATCGATTTTCATCGACAAAATGCTTTCGATTTTTATCGATTTATACCCTAAATAATCGCCGCGTGTCGGCGTGTTCGAGCTAAATGGTAAATCTGTTCTCATTTTTTGAATGTACACATGATCTTCTCTACAATATTTCAGTTCTGTTAACAAGCATTTAAACTTTTGTTTAACCTGGTGACTTATTTCAATACATCAAAAATCATCCCACCTTCCATCATGTAAACAGCCCAGGAAGTAGGAAAAGTGCAATTTGAATACCAAACACCTTCCACAAGGTCAAAGGTCAGCTAAATATTCTAATTCTACTTTCTTGGCATGGACAGTTTTACATATATGAATACCTGCAATGCTTATAGTATATACGTTCTTGCTTTTGTATTTATAATTATAATACTGTCAGTGGTGTAGTTAGCCCACTGATCTATGATCTATTAGATCAGTGAGCTAGCCATACCAACAGGTCATGCTACAGTATGCAAGTTTTTCATAATTTGCATTATTCAACTATTTGAATATTTTGTATTTATAATTATAATACTGTCAGTGGTGAAGCTAGCCCACTGATCTATTAGATCAGTGAGCTAGCCATACCAACAGGTCATGCCACAGTATGCAAGTTTTTAATGATTTGCATTATTCAAATAGATCCAGGTTTATAGCTGTGCCATGACCAGTTGCCATTGTAGCTAGCTTGCCACTGAATACTGTACAACATCATATTATATATAAACAATAATAATACTTGAATGAATCATTGGACATGTAGAATTTAATAACAATTTCATATACAGAAATATTAAGTCCGGTTTTGACCCAATTATCGTTTTAATGGCACCTTAAAGGATTAGTGTCAGGGTCATGTATTGCGGGCTATTGTTATTGTTTACATATTACTTAAATACAACAAAGAGCGATAAAAATACCTTGTTGGTAGATTTCTGATAAAAATCACACAAAAAGAGCAAGTATTATAAAAGGGTGGTTTAAATATATGATAAATTGTAAAAAACTTCCCAGATCATCAATCTATTCATCCCGAAAAATGGCCGATAGCAGGAGTTTGAGCCAGCGAATTCCCGGTGTGACACTAATCCTTTAAAAGTAATCTGTGATCAGGCCTATAAATAAATAGGCCTGATACAAACCTTAACAAAAAATCATGCCTTACAATCATATTTCGGGTGTAAATCTGATTGGTCTATGAGACAAAAAGATTTTTTAATCTGTCATTTGATTGGTTGGTGCTAATTATATTAGATTATAAAACAAAGTGTTGTTTATAGTGATCACAACTATAATTAGATTGTTGTTGTCCTTGTGTGAAATTTAAATTTTTCCTGCGACATTTTGATTGGATAATAAATATAAACTTTGCTGCACATGGGTGGAAAACTATTGGATTAAGGTTTGTGTCAGGGTAAATTTGAGAAATAGAGCCTGATCTCAGGTTACCCTCAAAGCTACCCACACTACCATAGGAAGCAATGTTGTATTGGGGGGCTGATTAATCTGGGGTGATTATTGCTAGTTCACAAATTACTGTATTGTTGCTACAACCCTGACCCCTAAATTGCAAAACAACTGAACCATCTGCTGATGCCTGATGGGGAGACAAAATCTGTTTGTTGACAGTTTTGTTTCATATGTCAGCTTCTGATGACATCATATTCATTTGTAATGATTAAGATTGTACTCAGTCAGAACTGCAAAACTATATAATACAAGAAATTGTGAGCATTATAAAAAATATAGTATACCCTGAACTGTAGTGACAGCCAGGTGAATATATTATGCTAACAAGTAGCAATGGACATACATCTTAGGGCCTGCTTATATGGAAGCCGGGCTGGCCTGCTTAGCGAGAAGCCCGGTAAGCGAGATGAATTTCTCTTGTGTTTATATGAGAAAATTTCGTCCCGCTTGCAGGGACAATTTTGTTACATTGATGTTGTTTTGACAGTTGTTAAAAATAGCTGGCGGCGGTATCTTTGAACTTTCATCCCTGCAACCGAGCTATATAGCCCGCTTGTGAGTGTTGATATGGATAAATTTCCATCCTGGTAAGCGAGATCTCGCCTCTTTCAAGCGAGATCTCGGCAACCGGGCCAGCCCACTTGTCCATATAAACGCACAATAATTTTTACTATAATAATAACTACACAACGAGATCTCGCTTACCGGGCTGTCTCGCTAAGCGGGCCAGCCCGCTTCCATATAAACAGGCCCTTAGATCATATTTGTACAGACCATCAAAGGTCGGTTGACATATTACATAAACTGCTGGTAAGTTGGTAAATATGTGCAGACAACAATCCACACTGGGTTGCTATAGGAATATCTTTGTACAACAGTACAAGTTAGATACTTTTTCATTCGTATAGAATTATGTGTTCCAATCACTGGTTCCAATGCGATACTGTACGATACTGCTCAATTGATATTCCCATAATAACAATATTATAATAAACTATCACTGTGATTATTTATACCTTGAAGTACGATATGTTCTATCAAGCTCAAACAGATTTTTTACTCCACTTGTTTATATGAAGAGTTGTATACTTGTATGGCAGCTAAATTAAAATTTAATAAAAATACAGTTAATTCATTCGTTTCAATAGGTAAAATAATTCGACCAAAACACATTAATTGTTATTTGTGATCAAACTTTCATCTTACCTTGAAAAATATTTTCGATATTAAAACAGCCAGACGCAAGAAAAATATTTCGATAAACAGCCAGACATATTAAAATTTACAACAGGCAACGAGGCACATGTTTACAAATTGTAATCGTTCATGGTGGTGCATGGTGGTGTTCGCGAGTCTCAACCATAGATATAGGAGATCTAGATTGCTAACGCATACCTAGCGCAGGCGGGGCCTACATGATAAATCCAAGATGGCGGTACAACAGGGCAAAAAGACTATAAATTCTATTACGAAAATCAGGATTTTTGCATTTTTTGCCGTCGCATTGTTTCGAAACTTATACGGTCAAATTTTATGGTAAAGAGAAACTTACCGCGAAGATTTTGAGCATATGATTGAATTGGATGAAAACTCGCAACAGTTTTGCTTTAATTTTTGCTCACTATTTGCATAAAAAGCAAATTATAACAGACCATAGATGATAGACCCTCATCCAGTGCTCTCATCAGTTTA